GTCGACGGCAGCGCTAGTGGCGGGGGGGGGGGGGCACCAGGAGGCAGGGAAACTTCTACTGAGAAGACAGCTCCTAAACCTGCCTTGCTAGCATGAATGCTTGAAATGTCTCAGTGTTAACAGCCCACATCACCTTTCAACCCCTGGAGCTGAGCAGAGATTTTGTGGGATGCACTAAGAAAGATACAGATCCTCAGTGTTTTCACCACAGAATTACACAACATAAGTGTGCAGGGTGACCTTCCTTATCACACTGACCAGGCCTTTATTTATTTTTCTAAGCCCTTTGTTTTACTGATGAAGAAACAGAGACCCTGGGAGGCTGACTTGCCCAGGGTTCACTCAGCTAATTAATTGCAGGGCAAGAATCCAAATCTGCAGTCCCAACAAGGGCTGGCCTTACTCTGTTGGCTGGCTGGCCTCTCCTCTCAGATCAATGAAAGCTCTGGGCAAACAAACAAATCAGAAATATTAGGGGGGAAAAAATCTTAGAATTTGAGAAAGCCATAGTGGTTATTAGGGTTAAGTCATCTTACAAACAAGTTGTTACACACAAAAGGAACATGGCTGAGAGCCAATTTTTTTAAAGATGCTATTTGAATGGGCCTGGGTGAAGAGACACGTTTAACCTAAAGGGCCAACACCCAATCTAGAATAGGGTTGCAGTTCGCTTCCAAGTGAGGACATGTGGAATCAAATTGCTCCTAACAGTCATGCCTTAAAAAAGCAATACAGGGCCAGGAATTTGCTCAGTGGTGCCAACATCTGCCTCACAAGCACAAGGTCCTAAGTTTGATCTCCGTTACAAAAAGCAATACAAAATGTTACAGCACTAAAAATGATATCCATTAATCAGTCAATCAACAATTTCCAAGGTTTGTAATTTAACAAAGACTATACACTTTAAAAATACTGACAGAAGCTGGGTACAGTGGCATATGCCAGAAATCCTAGTATACTCAGGAAGCTGAGGCAGGAAGAATGTGAGTTTGAGGCCAGCCTGGAATACATAGCAAGTTCAGGGCTAGGCTAGGATACATCCTCAGACCCTGTCTCGAAAATCCAAAGAATAAAAAATAATATTGATAAAGCCATGCCATCAAAAGTCCCATTGCACATGCCAAAATGATTCTAGAAGAACCTTGTACAGTGGACTACAGAGGACCCTCCAGTTATAACCAGCCTGACATACAAACAACTTGGGTTAATTAATGGAAGATTCATCTATCTCTCGCTACCTATAGCGTGTACCTAGGTAAACATCCAGATCTCAGATCTGTATTGACTTACAATCAACTTGACTTACTACCAGCCCTTGGGAACTGATAGAGTTCATGTCAAGGACCCAAGTCCTCGAATCTCAAATCAGCTCAGGCCCCATTATGTCCAAGACACTGCTGCCCTGATTGATCACACATCATAGCCAATTTGCAGCAGACCTACAGTCCCACTCAGAACACATATGCCACAGGGTCTAGGTGATACTGATGTTGGCATATCATTCCAGACAACTTGTTTGCCTAGTTTGGGGCTCTCAGCTGTTTCCAAGATAGTCATATCTTCTAACATCAGTAGCCTTGAGTTAAGTGAAAAGGACGATCAGGGCCGGGGATTTAGCTCAGGGATTCTGCTGCCTACCTCTCAATCACAAGGTCCAGAGCTCAATGCCAGTTACCAAAAACAGAGAGAGAAAGGCAATCAAATACCAGCTATAATTTTTTGTTACAGTTCCTGTTTTCCTTTATAAATAGCAATTCAGGGGGAAGAATTTAAATTATATGCTAAAAGCTATTCAAACAATGACCTTGAGAAACTGATAATACTTGAGTGTAAAACAACCCTAGGACCACTACAACAGATAAATGTACACACACAAATTGGAAAGGAAAAATGTAAGATTTCTCAGCAAATTAAATTCTGAAATTCATAAAGATACAAAGAGAGCTTTGCAAAATCGCCTGGAAGTCCCAATCATCCTGTGGATGTCACATTCTGGTTAAGGATTTATTAATAGACCTAAAGACTGCTCCTATCTGAAGGCGGACTGTCAGAAGGAACAGCTATGATAGGGTACAAGGTCCAATAATTGTATTCCAGAGATTACCTGACATACCTGACTGCACCTAGGAACTAAACATACATCCACATTCACATGCAGTTCTGGAAATGGGTTATCAGTGTTGGGTGCTATTAACATTAGCATGATTTAACTACTTCCCTTTGTTCTGATTCTGTAATTTGGCTCCTTTCTTAGAATGCCACTAGTGTGGGGAGAGAGTGCTGATCCAGTCAGTACTGGGAGTAATCAACCAGTGTTCTGAAGTTACACAATCTCTCTCTCTTGAGTTTTGTTAAATAGCCAAATCCCATCCATTCAAGACACTGAGACTATTGAGCTACTGTCCTCAGTCTGAGGACCAAAAGGAAGAGAGTGTAAATTCTTTGATGGCAACGCCACCATGAACCAGACCTGTGAATCCAGCCAGCAGGCTTTCCCTGAATACATCATCTGCTTCATCTCACATACTTCCCTTCCAGCAGTAGCTTCAACTACTATCATTTTTCCTCTGAAAGAGTGAATATTTACTTGTCATGAAGAAGAACCAAATGGAAATGATGTTAACCATCCTTCCAGACACAGTAATTCAGACCCAAAACACTGAAAAGAAACTGCCAGAAGCTATCAAGTTGCTAATGGAAAACGAGGCATGTGGTGAGGAAGTCTTCAGGAACAAGTGTTACAGGATAAAACATAAGAAATGCTGTCCTTACTTTAAATATTATACCACAAACAAAAGGCACAGATATAACTGGCCAAATAGAACTATGCTAAGTCTGCCCCATAATACCTTACATTTCAGAAACAAACAAAAAATTCTTAAGCTTCTGTGACAGAAAGGAAAACAAATATATGATTGGATTCCAATAAGAATACATGTTTCAAAAAGTAGAGTATCAGTTATAACGTTAAATTACATACTTCTGAGGCTGGCATTACAGCTCAGGGATAGAGCATCTGCCCAGCCTGTTCAAGATCCTGGGTCTGATCCCCAGCACTGCAAAAAATAAATTATATGCTTTTGAGGAAAAGAATGTATAGAGTTGAGGGAGTACTGTCTTTTTCCCACTCATTGCAAAGTTCATGGATGACAACTCTGTTACAAGAGAAAAGCTTAAGTTTATAAAACCAAAGTTTTATGTCATATGGGAGCTTTCAGAAATAAAGATCCAGCCTAGGGAAAACTGTATTTTTATGCTTAAAAGAGATAAAGAATGACAATTACATGAAAGTGTTGTTGGGTGAAAAGCCCAACTAAATAAACTGGGAGAAAATTACCAAGGTCTGTTCAGATTCTTTCTAGCTTCCTAGTATGTGGCAGAACCCCTCTGAAATGAGTCTATGATCTCCTATCAGATGAGGTAAGTTGAAAATTCCTTTATGAGAATGCTTTAGGGAACGAGGCAAGAGGAGGTCAGAGGCCTTGTTTCTGCAGTTCTCAATTGGCAGGGCCACATTTTGGGGTACAATATGACAGGTCCCAACAAGAAAATCACTCTCTAGGTTACAACTGAAATTAAGTAATAAAAGAAAATTTCCTATAACATTCACTTAAAAGAAAGTAAGAGGTAAATACACAACATTATATCTAGAAGGACAATGACCTAAAGTTACTAAATTCCCTTATTTT